AAGTCTGAATAAGTTTGACTGATAGTTTGTGTGTCGATCATTTGTTCCAAGTAAAACTCCTGTTCCATGCAAAAGGTGAAAGAATACGAGTAGTTGTGCTGTTTGGTGTTGAGGTGTCATTCTGACCATGCCGAAGTGGCATTCTGACCTGCGTCCTACGGTTATGCTCAGTAAGTCTGCCAAGAGGAACTGTTTATCCTCAGTATCTAGGAAACCTAGACCAGAGAGAAGGGCAGATCTAGGTGGAGAAAACGGTTTCTTGGACAGAAGAGAAAGACTTGGGCTGGATACTAACTACTTAGATCATTTAACTTATATGTTACATTTATGTATAATTTATACCCTGTGATCCCACACTATATAGTAGCTTTTCTGTTGATAAAAAGTTACCTTTTATTGGACACTTACATGTCCCAGGTAACAGTGCTAAGAAACTTACAGGCAGCATATCACTTAATTCTCAGCAGTCTCTGAAGTCATCTCCATTTTACACATGAGGAAACAGGGCTCTGAAGGTAAATTATTTGTCTGAGATCATAAACCCAGTAAATTATGGAACTGACTGGGAGGTTCCAGGTGCTGGAGCAAGACTTGTTCATGTGTGTGGTTTAAGAGCAGCCTGGCCCAGAACCAAAGATGTAGAAGGAGTGGCCACAGACAACCAGAGAAGTCTGGCCCTGTATCAGGGAATACCAGCTTGGGGTAACTGGATATGTTGGCGAGGTGGATCATGGTGACTGAAGACCCAGGCTCTGGCAATAAGAACATCTGAGCAGGCAGAAAGGTGGGTGATAGCAGCAAGCTTGTCAGCATGTAGACAGTTCGCAGTTCTGGGCAAGGGTTCAAGGTGGTATTTCAATCGCTGGGATACAAGATGAGCAGGGGTCACCATTTCCCCGCTTCCCAGTCATAGAAGGTCAGGTTGTCAAGAGGAGGATTAGTTACTTGAAATGAGAAATGTAGTGCAAAGTGGTCTTGGTAACTGGCAGGAGCCCAGTTGTCAGAACTAGGGTGCTATGTCAGGACAGGAGTAGCAGTAGGGGACTCACAAGTGAGTTGTAGAGAGTTGGGCTAGAACTCTTTGGATACTTACTGTTTAATTTAGATTACAGGTGAATGACATCACCTAGAATTATGTCGTGCACAATCTACATGGTCCTGTGTGGCAGACAGAGCTGTGTCTAAAGATGGGATTGGTTCTTGGGAAGAGGGCAGAGGTCGTCCTCTGTTGGGGAAGAAGGGCTGCAGAGGTTGGGAGAAGAGTGGAGCACGAGCTGTGTGAGGATCTTGGACAGGGGACACGGCGTGGTGGGAGGTAGACACGGGAAGCCTTTGATCGATGGCCTCTGGAATTCGCCGCTTCACAGCATTGCATCTGTTAGCAGTGCGGGGCTCGGAGTTGCTCCTCAGTAAAAGCTTGTGCACGGCGGTAAAACCACAGGCTGCAGTGACTCATTTTAATACTCTTTGTCCCTCCTAAGTCAGACACTGCCCTGAAGGACAAAAGCCCTACTTTTTCTTTTGTACCAAACATCAGAAACAAATGCACAGACGCAAGCACCCCAGGGAGAGACTGAGGTGCGGGCCTGGCACTGTCCTTGCTGCTCTGCTGAGTTTTAAGCACTTTTAGTTACTTAGTGAGTCACTGTGCGGCGGGTGGACTTGAGCTCTGTTGTTGTTGTTTTTTTACCTCTTATTCATGAAGCTACCTTGTGATGTGGTTTTAAGATGTTTTTGAGATTTTGATGAAAGCTAAGCATAGACTTTCCATAAAAGATAGATATATCCATACATGATAATTTTTGCATACAATTTTTGGGGTTTCACTGAATTTTTGTTGCCTATGGATTCTAGTTCTTAAAACTACTAATAGAGATTGTAATTGTTATTTCAATAATATATTTCATATTTCCATATGGAGTCAATTTTAATACCTGCTTTTCTAATTGAATAGTATTTTTATTTTTTTGGCCCAGAGTGTTCCTATTTTATTTATTTATTTTTATTTTATTATTTATTTATTTGTTTTCAATTTTCCTTATTTATTCCCCAAATTTCTCTAATAAGCTTTTTTTAAAAATGCAGGATCCAGTCGAGGTTCACACACATACATTTTTGTCACTTAAGTTGAATAATATTTTAAAGTAATGTTTATTAGAGGGTAGCATTTATCTTCATGGCTGAGTTACTATCCAGCTTATCTGACAGAAAGTGTCCTTAAGAGGGAATTAGAAAATTAGGGAAGAAATATAGCTAGTAAACAAAGTTCACCTCTATTAATTATGAAATGTTTTAAGAAAGTGATTTAATTATTTGCCTGTCATATTAGCAAAGATTTAAAAAATTGTAATATTTACATTCTAGCAAGAGTGCATGTAAAAAGTATATTTCAATATTATTGAGAATTATTGACCAGAAATCTCTCTGGCTAGGTGTAATAAGAGCCTTAGAAGAGTGTATACTCTTTAATTTAGTAATTTCCCTGGGAGCTGAGGAATCCTAAATATGACAAATGCTTTTTGCCCAAAGATGTGAGTAGCAGCATTATTTATATACGAGAATTGGGAAAAATCTAAATGTGTTTTAGAGGACTAGGTGAGTAAACCATAGTATATCTACTTGGATCCACGGAAAACGTTTACGAAGATGTTTGATAATACAGAAAAATACTTACATTATTACTTGAAAAACATCAAGATATAATGTATCTTTTTATTTAGGAAAACAAAACTGAATAGCAAAAAAGACTGGAAAGAGTTTATAAAAATAATTTTGTGAGGCTTCAAGGTGATTTTAATTTTTATTTTTTAACATTTATTTTCTATATTGTCCTTAATGAGCCCTTATTTCTTGAAAATAGGAAAAATAAATAAACAAATTGTATCAGGCAGTCATGCAGGAATAGTAGTGTATGTTTTGATTCTTGCGTTTGAGTCTGTAGGTGGTGAATCGGGTGAGTCCTAGTTTTCTGACTCAGTGGTTCCTTGCTGAGCAGAGGCTGTGGTGGAGACACTCGGTTTACTGTGTGATAGATGTGAGTTTTTAGTGACACAGTACCTCAAAGCACAGGCAGATAGGTGGCCTGGGGCTTGTGGGGGTAACACTTGACACAGTGGGGGGCATTTTGCTGGGCGGTGGACAGAGCGTAGCTTACCCCTGGAAACTGAGTATGGGATCGTCCTCGTGGGACTTTCCAGTCTGTGTAATGAAAATGTCAGGTCACCTCTGTGATGTGGGAAGCTGTGGTTTCTCACTCAGTTCCCATCTCTCTCTTTCCTCTGTCTTGTAACATTTCTCCTACCAAATCCTCTTTTGTTTCCCTAGGAGAGAAATCTCTAAATATTCCTTTTTCCTAATGGACAATTACCTTCATCTCATTCAAGTTCAAAATAACCTTTTTTTTCCCTCCAAATACATTACCTGACTATTTGATCCTTTGAGGAAGGAATTATTGACAGTTTGAGGATGAGGAAACTGACAGAAGGTCCTGGGATGAGGGTAGTGACCGTATCTATAATGGTGGGATTTAAGGCTTCATTTGCATCCCTCATGTCATATAAAATAACGGTGAAAACACCACCACCACTAATAACTAATACTTACAGAGCCCCTTCTGCGTGTCAGGCACTTTCTAGACAGTTTTGCCTAACTGAGCTCATTTAATTCTCTCAATAGTTCTACTTGTAGAACAGGCTAGGCCTGATATTAGTAAAGAACCTTCTGGAAGGACCTTGGAGACCTTATCCTGGTTATCTTTTTGGACCAGGGATGGGGAACCACTAGATTGTCAAATAACTACAAAAAGTCAAGGGAGGAGAGGGAGCGAGTAAATTTGCAGGTACAGTACGCGTGAGAGAGGCGTCCCGTGGGCACCCGTGCCCCACCCTTTCTGACCTAGTGTGCCAGGGTATGAAACGTTTTCCCTTGCAAGTGTCTCTTGCACACATTTAACCAAGGAAGGTTTATTTTGGGATGACAGGAAGGGGTATGGATGAAAGTTTGAGGATTAAAAAAAACCCGGGCCTGTTTTATCCTGGTGGGATGCAGAAAGGAGTCGTTTTGGGCCTGGAGAACGTGAGGGGAGAACGTGGGGAGCTTTGGGGGCCGATGTGTGCAGTTTGCACATACGTCTGCTGATGTGCACACCACACTCGTGTGTGGGGGTGGGACTGTGAGGGGAAGGTAGTTCGGGAGGACGGAGCGAGACGAACAGATGTATGTTTCTGGAGGTCCGGATCCTGTCCTCATCCCACCTTTGTGCCTGGCACGTGATGCCGTGTGTCACACTTAGTAAACTAAGTTCACTTGGACTCGATCCCTGTCGAGCTGGTAACTGGGTCTGACGGTCCTCCCCTCCCTCACAGAAGCGCTGCTGCCCCCTCCTGGGGGTGGCAGGTTGTTTCTGGGGAGGTGCTTTGTTAACTGCTCAGCGTCGCCCTGCAGTGCTGTTCAGTGTGCTTGTGCTTTGAGAGGTAATGCATATGATAATGCATAGCTTGGAGGGTTTGCACAGGGATTTGGCTTTAATGGGGCTGGAATTGAGAGTGGGATTATTTTGTTCTGATAGTTATTGTGAAGACGACTACACTGGGAGTGAGGAAGAACTCGAATCTAGATCAGCCATAAACCTCGAGCTCTGGTTTTCTGGGCCTCATTTTTCTTTTCTGTAAAGCTAGGAGGCTAGACTGGGTCAGCTGTTTTCTGGAGGGGGTGAGGGACTTCAACAGGGGATGGGGGGTCCTCTAAGATGTCCCCTCCCCCATAGCCGCTGTCCCACCTCAGAGCAGCTCCACTTTGAGCTGTTCTATTTATTGAGTGTCAAATAAGGTATTTCAGGGAAAAAAAAGTCCCCCAGAGTATGAAAGCTCTTGGGCTAGAGGATTTCTCAGATCTCTTCCACTTCTAATGCTGTGATGTTATGAACTTAAAATTGAGCAGAGATTTGAAAGCTGAAATCATAGTGCCAAAAATTTCTCTTAAGTGCTGTGGATGTTTTGCAGGCAGACAGTCCAGAAGACATGCACAGCTGGATCAAGGAGATTGGGGCAGCTGTCCAAGCACTCAAGTGCCACCCCAGAGTAAGTCACTTCCTTTCTGTTGCACAGTGTCAACTTAGACATGAATTCTCCTTGAGCGGGCATGTTTTATTTGGTGATGTAGGCAAGCAGCCCCATCCCTTGAGGCAGCTGAAACCCCAGGATGTCTTGTTTTTCTCTTTCTACTAATTTGAGTACAAATTTTTATTTTTCTTTCTTTGGTTGTTGGAGGAGGTGAGGTAGGGTTGGATAGAGAAACAGAATTTCTGAAGTGTCTTACAAGTGTCACTGCCAGGTAGACCTTGACACATCTGGAGTGAATTCCGGTGAACATACTTGGTTTTTGTATTCTGTGAGGTGGTGATGCTGGGTGGGTACTCTTTTTGAGACTTTAGGATAAACATTATAAGGAACAGGCCTAACTTTCCTTTGTCTTTTTCTTCCTTTTTATTTTTGTAGGAAATGTCCTTTTCTAGATCCATTTCTTTGACTCGACCTGGAAGCTCCAGCCTGTCAGGTGGGCCCAACTCTGCTTTGTGCAGAGGGCGGCTACCTGTGGAGGAAAAGAAAGCCCTCTGCAAAGTCCCCTCTGTGGCCTCCTCCTGGCAACCCTGGACACCTGTCCCCCAGGCTGGGGAAAAGCTGCTTCCTGCTGAAGAGACTCCGGAGGACTCTCTGTTTGCACCTCGACTTGGGGAGAGCAATGCTGCTGGCGTGTTGCAGAGCTCCCGGATAAGGCACAAATCAGAGCCCCAGCACCCCAAGGAGAAACCATTTATGTTCAACCTTGATGACGAAAACATACGGACCTCTGATGTGTGATGAAGCTTAGTGACATGGGAGGGAGGGAGGGTGGACTCGAGAGAAGGAGGCCATGACTCAGTTTCTGTGTCTTATTGGAGGATAGTCGGAGACTTTTTATGACACATTCCTGTGGATGCTCTGTGGGAGGGGCCCATCCAGCTGGCTTTTTTTTTTTTTTTTTTTTTTATAATATCAATGCAATGTATTTAATTTGGGATAATCACTAGGTTAGACCTGTAAGCATATTCAGTGGAGAGCAGGTTGCCTCTTGTTTAACTATTCCAGGGTCTTCCTCTTGAGGGGTTCTTTTAGCAGCTCCTCACCAGAGGAGGTTGGGAGTCTAGTTTCACCCCTACGTTTTATTTCCCTGTCCTTGTTTTAGTTTCTTCATTCTGTTTTCAGTCCAGACTCTGAGGACAGTCATCTGGTTTTACCCTATTCCTGTTCATTGGCTGATGTTTGTGAAGTGGGAGGGTGGTAACCGACCCAGCTGAAAGGAGGTCGGGGTGGTGGAAGATGCAGGCTCCAGCTTGGCTTGGGTGCATTCTGAGAGGTGGTGGTAGCGTCTGGAGGCTGGAGAGCAGCCCTCAGAATGTCTGCCAGGGCAGATGCCCTCAGGAGACCTCATAGGGGAAGAGATAGGGACTTCTTGTAAGGTATGGGGAATAACTCAACTCCAGTGCATCAGCCAGTTTTGGAAATTACTCTGTTCTCCTAGATGTTTTGACTCCAAATACTGTAGATGTGGATGACAGACCTACCTAACCCATTCCTGTGTTAGGCCCCAAGGGTGGATTTATCATTGTTAAATGTTAGGACTGTAGAGAACAGAACAGACATTTCCCTTGATATGGCATTATTTGGACCATGTGGAGGGTTGATGTGTGTATGATAATTCACATGTGTGATAGGTTGATCTCTGTTGCAGAGTTTTAGATTAGCTATAAAGCAGCTCTTGGGAAGAGGTGGATTTATAGTTCATGCTGCTCAGCTTTTTTGATCTATGTTTTCCAGACAAGAGAAAGGTTATGTTTTGACAAAGATAGATTGTCTTGAGTCCTTGCCTCACAGCTCTTTTTGAATGGGCCAACAAGAGTCTAATTTTAAGTGCTGTGTATTGTAGATTCTAGCAGATTTGCTTTCTTTTTATTCTTTATATTGCCTTTTGAATGAAGCCCTGTGTGCTTGCATGACTAAACCCATGGTCTGATGGAGTTCCATGTACTTAACAGTGAAAAGATATAAAGATAATCTTGAGAGAGATTTACGTTTTTAAAGAAACAGAAACTGGGCATACAAACATTGATTGAAAGGTTATGAGTTGCTGGCTAGAGATTTCCCAGGTAGAAGAGCATAGAAGATTGAGTTTCTCACCTCCTGCCTGCAGCAGTGAACTGCGGTCATTGGCGCGGTCGCGCTCAGATGGGGCGAGTGTCGGGAAACGCGGTGCGGCGCGTCCCGCTCTCCAGGGCGCGACACGGTCCGTGTTCGGAGCCGTTTGTTGGAGCCGTTCGCTGCCGCGGCGCCGAGCGGGGCGCATGGAAACGCTGACGCGGCTCGTTTTCTGTGACCTCATGGGCGTGGAGCGGAAAGTAATTTTCTAAAACTGTTTTGTTGCTTGTTTTTTCAAAAATAAAAGCCATGTGAAATAGCGACACAGGGTCGTGTTTTCCTGGCGCCGACCTTCTGGCCCTGAGCGGGTGATGTCAGTCTGTCCCCATCGTCGCTCTCACCAGGGACCTCCCTCCGCCCGGGGTGGGTGGCGACGCCTGCCGGGCTCTGCCCTTAAAGCTGGGGCTGGTGCAGGCGGCACCCGGCGGAGGAAGGACTTGCTCCTCGTGGAGCCGTCGCGGTCCAGGGCCGAGTGACCGGGGACGTGGCCGGAGCAGGATGGCGGGAGCTCGGCTGCGGGGCGCGGGGCGCGGGCAGTTCCCGCTGCTGCGGCTGCTGCTGCTGCTGGCCGTGCCCGTGCCCGGGGCAGAGGCGCGGAGGGCCGGGTGGCCGCCCTGCCCCGCGGCCTGCGAGCCCAAGCGCTGCCCGCCGCTGCCCACCTGCGCGGCGGGGACGACACCGGTGCCCGACCGGTG